GGACAGAAACACAAAAAGCCAAAATAGCCAAAGTATAGAGATCAAGAGTCTGCTAAATAATGGTCCTTGGACAGAACCCCTGTATTAAACTTCATCCATATAAGGCTCAGGGACCATCGCAGAAGAGGGGCCAGAAAGATTGTAAGAGCCAAGGGGGAGGTGCATGACCATATGGAAACAGAGTCCTACAAGCTCCTGGGAACCTGCTCATATGATTCTATGGCATAGGTGTCAGCATACACAAGTACCATGCAAACTCAGGCAGATAATAAACCAGCATAGAACTTGGATAATGAATATGAGACCCCAATCTTATCTAAAGGAATGTTGGTAACTGGTAGCTGCTAGATGAAAAATAGCTGATCTTCCTAAAACAAGGGACTCTAGATAGGTTGACTGGACTCAGAGGATAGACTTGCACTGTGGAACACCTCGGGGCACTGACAACACAGTGGGCAAGAATGGGGATAACAGAGTATATAGGTTCCAGTGAGGGTGAGGTGCAGGGAGGCTATGGGAGGATGCCAATGGGGATAAGGGTATAAAGATAATTAAGATTGTTTGGGATTTTCTGTATGAAATACACAAATTAATTTAAAAAGTGCCACAACTGCAGAGATAGACATAGTTTCCTGTCCCAATAATTGTTGTGTTTATTAGGCTTTAAGCTGCACAGAACCGTTGATTATTTTCCCACTTGTCAGCTTGCGTAGTATCATCTGGTGCAGTGAGAGCTAGCCTTCAGGGAGGAAGCTTCCTGGTAAGTTTCAGCTTAAGTATGTCTTGTCTTTAGCAATAGGTTCTGGGAGGAAATCAAAGCTGTGGCAACAGCCTGTGTTATTTTGGGAGTCTCTTGGACTATCCTGACCAACAACTTCAAAGGAGGTCACTCCTGCCCAGCACTGTGTTTTATTTTATACTGCTTTCAGTTACACACACACACACACACACACACACACACACACACGATTGTGTGTATTTTTCCTTAGGCTTTTGAACTAATACATTTCCCATTAGTTTTTTATATCACCTAAGCATTATTTATATCTCTTCTCTTCCCCCCCATAGAGCCCTCTTTCTCCAGTACTTCCATGTTTCCCATTTCCCCCTTGAAAATCTCCTCTCTCTCTCTCTCTCTCTCTCTCTCTCTCTCTCTCTCTCTCATCCTTTACTGCCATGGTTCTGTTCCATCTTCTTGGCTCCTGCAGCTATATCAAGATATATACCTATATCTATTTGAAATTAAGTATTTGAGCTAAGATCCACAAATGGGTGAGACCACACTTCCCTTTTTTCTGAGTCTTAATATAACAGTTTCTAATTCCATCCATTTAGCTACAAATTTCATGATTTCATTTTTTTTTACACCTGAGTAGAATTGCATTGTATTAAAAAACCCCACTTTTGTCTCGTTGCTAAATCAATGTACTTTCTTATTATAGTCTCTATATGTACCCTTATATTTACAGAAAAGTGTACCTCTCATCACTCATCAACAAAGCTTCTTTTGACAACAGTTGGAGAGTATTACAGAATTCCACAACTGGTCAAACATTGAGAATAAATGTCTGTGAGTTGCCCCGACCTAAGTGACACATTTACAACCTCTGCACCTAAGGCTTAGGGAACATAATGGAACAGGGGGCAGAGAGAATAGTAATGCATCCCTCAACTCTCACCAGTGAAGATTCCTCATGCAAGACACAATAATTAACCCAGAAAGCCACAACTGGTCAAAGTGAAGAGACTAAGACTTGGAGTTTTTGTGCCTGGGTAGGACAACTCTATCAAATCTCTACCACCCAGGACTCAGGGAATATTGAAGACTACAGGGAAGAAAGATTCTAAGAGCTAGGAGTGGTGGGTGACTACAAGTAAACAGAGTTTCCCAGACAGCTGGGAACTTGCCCATATGAACTTACAGCAGTGGTGACAACACGCACATGATCCATGCAGGCTCATAACAGACAAAACCCAGAACAAATGTGGAGAAATGGAAAAGAAGCCCCAACCTTACAGGAGGAACCTCTGGCAACTGATGACTTCTGGGAGAGGGAGAGGTAGTTTTCTTTAAGGGCATGGTACTAGATAGGTTGACCAGGCTCCAGTGAATGATCGCACATCAAGGGACATATGGGAACACAAACTTGGCTCAATAGGTTTCAACACATATGACAGAATGCATGAAATCCAGTGTGGGACTTAAACTGAGGTACAGGGGAGGAAGTCTAAATACAATCAAGATATATTATATGAAATTTGCAAAGATTCAATTTAAAAAACAAAAGATCGTACGAGATTAAATAAATCATGACAGAACAAACCAAAGATCTCTCATTCTCTGCATGCTAACCAGTACTAGGTCTTTGTATTAATCCCCAACTCTACAGAGGACACTGGAAGTAACTGAACACTATGAACAAATGAAAGTCTAGAAAATTTCACTGACAATAAAGAGGCTCTCAACATGTTTTATGATATTATTTTAAATTCAACATAAAAAAGAGAATTGGTTTTTATTAAAAAGGAGACTCTCCCAAAATACATAAAAAAACACAATTAAAGATTTATTTAAAATAGAACAAAATAATAGTCTCAAAATTTTTGTGTAGTTTTTTCTGATTTGACATAATCTAATCATTACTTCTGCATGAGAGACACAATTGGTTTGGTTAGTTTTCTTAAATGTATCTTTACGTTCATGCTTTATTTAAAAGCAATTTGTCTTTGATTGGGCTGCTTTGTCTTTTCCTATTATTTCTGTGCTTAATATATTGTAATTTATTTAAAGATATGTAGCACTGGGCTTATCATTATCATAATAAGCTTTTCCACATGGTTGTTTCATAGATGAAACAGTTATTTGGGTTTACGGTTCCAGTGCAGTAAGAGTCTATCACAGCAGGGAGTCATGGAGGCCTATGGCAAACATGACCTCAGAGCTAGAAGCCTCGAGTTCACATCTTGACTAGCAAAGAAAAAGTGAGTGAGCAAATCAGAAGCAGGACATGGTTATGAACTTCCGAATCTTATCCCAGTGATGCACGTCCTCCAGCAAATCTACAACTTCCAAAGATTCCATCAACACTGACACCAACTAGAGACAAAGCATTCAAATACTTGAGCCTCTGAATGACATTTCTCTTTCAAATAATTATAGTAGATTATCATTTTTATCCCAACATAGCACAAAGAAAATGCATCATATAGATGAGACACTTGTAGTGAAGTATCCCACGTGTACCACCTAAAAACAGTCTATGAGCATTGGTAATAGAAAAAGCAAAATAAAGTGAAATAAGGTATAATTTCAGAAGCTTCTGAATAATGAGTTTGTTCAGTTTTTTTCAATTTTGTATTGCTGATTTAGCATTAAAATTAATTAGTATAATTCTAAATTTTGTTGCTTTTATTTTATTAGTATATGACTCATTGATATTTTGGGTTCTTGAGACTGAACCCAGGGCTTTGTGTATGCTAGACACATATTCTACATTTGAGCTACATCCTCTTCTCTAACTTTGTGTTTTTTAAATTTGTTTTTATTGAATTTTTGTGTATTTCATACAGAACATCCCAAACATTCTTAATCATCTTTCTACCCATCCCATAGCATCCTCATTGGAGCCCATGTACTCTGTCATCCCTGTTAAGGACCACTGTGTCAAGTCAGTGTGCACAGACATCCCCCACTGTAAGTCTATCTACTGAGGTCTAGTCAGCCTATTTAAAGTCGTCCCTTGTTTTAGGAAGATCAGATCTTTTTCACCTAGCAGCAATTAGTTGCCAATATTTCTTCAGATAAGATTGGGGTCTCCTTTTCATTTTTCCAGTTCTTTCCTGGGTTTTTGTCTGCCTGAGTTTGCATGGGACTTGTATATACTGACACCATTGCCATAGAATCATATAAGCAGATTCCCAGGAGCTTGTAGGACTCTGTTTCAAGATGGTCCTGTACCTCCTCCCTGGCTCTTACAATCTTTCTGCCCCCTCTTTCACTATGGTCCCTGAGCCTTGGGTGGGTGAAGTTTAATAAAGGAGCTCTGTCCAAGACCCAGAATTCAGCACACTCTTAACCTCTATGCTTTGGCCATTTGTGATCGTTTGTGTTCCTGGCCCTCCACTGAATGAGAGAGCTTCATTAATGAGAACTGAGAGATTCATTAATGTTGTCTTCTTTACCCCTGTTTCGTGTTCCATGAGCCTTGCACGTAGTGGTTCTATTGTAGGTGTGACACTTAGACCTGGGCAATTCATAGACAATGTCTGTGTGTGACCAGTTGTGGTATTTGATAATAGTCTCTGATTGGTGCAAAATGAGCTTCTTTGATGAGTGCTGACTGGGATATTTCCTGTAAATATAAGGATACATATTTTGCACATAGGAAGAAATCCCATTTAGTCTAGGGATGTGTCCGTCTTGGGGTTTTCTCTAAGATCTATGACCACTCCAGCCATGTGTATTTGGTTATGTTTACAGTTACCACCCTTGAGTTTCCTCCCATTGAATGGGCTTTTAGTCCAGTTATGTAGCTCTTGATTGCTCTTAAGATAAAAGTGCCACTACTGCACCAGTGACGTAGTCTGTGCTGGCCATTGATGTGGTTATTTGGTCTTGAAGCTGGTGTTAGACCATCAATTGATGTTTTCCTTTAGCACCCTCACAGGGCTCTCCAAAGCCGCGAGAGCCAGATTTCAGGAGAAGTGGTTTCAGGTCAGTTGCAGCTCTATTCCTCCAAATCCTGTGTCTGAAGTATGTTGTGTCTTATATAGAATATTTTAGTGTTTCTGAACGTCTACCAAGTTTGAAACTTAAAAATCGTCCAGGTAGATTCATAGTTTCTTGACATGACATTTGTGGAACTCATTTATTTATTGTTCTTCAGTTGTATGTACTGACCATACTTAGACACAACACAGAACATTCTTATTCCTTATGGATATAGTATGAACTTATGAACATGCTTTTTTGGCGCACTTATATTTTAATTATTTTTCAGATTTATGATGGAAAAGATAAAACGACACACCTGCTAGGTGCTTTCACGGGTGCATCTATGAGAGGATTGACACTCAGCAGTACTTCAAACCAGCTCTGGCTAGAATTTAATTCTGATTCAGAAGGGACAGATGAAGGCTTTCAACTTGTCTATACCAGTAAGTATTTTGGACAGCTAAAATTTTCAAGCACTGATGCTGAAGGTTTATTAAAATTTGCAATGTACCGCACTAATAACATCTAACAACTCATTGTCAATATGCCGTTTGCAACTCCCATCTACGTATGTAAGTTTGTTTTAACAACTCCCTAAGTTACAGGTATCCTAGCTATTGCCATTTGATAGCTGCAGACACCAAGTTGCAGGGAGATTAAAAAATTGGTGGACTTTGTGTTTTTCTATTTATGAATATTTTAAATAATAAGATTCTTCTGATTCAATATTTAGAAATTGTAAATAAGCTTGGGTAAAAGATAGAAACTAAACATTTAAGCTGTCAGCTAATAAACAAAATAATATTTTATTTCGTGCACTAATCATTGTCAGTCATTAATAACTTAATAGTTTCAGATGACATACATAAAGATTTTTGTACATTTGTGCTAAATTTCCTTCTTGAAAATAAGCATAGGCAGTCTTATTCATCTCTGTAATATCAGGTATTCTGACATATAAAAGTTCTGACAGAGAGTTATTTTTATCTTGGGTACATTGTTATATGTACCAAATGAATATATTTTACTATTCATAATATAAAAATGAACTAATTACATAATGAACAAAATTCTGTACAAACTATAGATTGATTGATGGTAGATATTGAGTTTCTTACCTTATGTAACACACTCCTTAATGAAATGAACGTAAAACAATACTTACCTGTTTGTTTTAAAATTTATAATCCAGGGCCTAGAGAGATGGCTCAGTAGTGAAGAGCACTTACTGTTCATGCAATGAACTGGAGTTCAGTTCCCAGCAGCTAACAACCATCTGTTCCAGGGGAGCGGTTCCAGGGGAAGGTGACACCCACTTCTGGCCTCCACAACATTGCATACGTAGGTTCACTTACAAACATGCTGGCAAAACACTCATACACATAAAACAAATTTTAAAAAAATTATAATCTGTTGGATAACTAGTTCTTGTAGTTCAGAATATCCATTTCATGTGGGATAAAAACAATGCTTCAATGTCATTATTGCTAGGCCAATTGAAAATATCTGGCTATTAAAAGTTTTCATAAGGCCAGGCATGGTGGCACATGCCTTTAATCCCAGCACTCAGGAGGCAGAGGAAGGTGGATTTCTGTGAGTTCAAGGCCAACCTGGTCTACATAGTGAATTCCAGGAGAGCTGGGGGCTATAGGGAGACCCTGTCTCAAAAAGACGAAAAAAAAAAATTTCATAAGAAATTAGAAAAATGTAAACTTTTAGAAAAAGAGGAATTAAAATGTATCAGCATCAGATACAAGAACATGGAAGTCAGACGTGATAACATGTGTCTATAGTTTCTACATTTGTGATGCTGAGGCAGAAGAATGGCCAGAATGGACTTGATAATGAGACTGCAGAAACAAACCAATAAAAAACTTTAAAAAATAACAAAAGAAATAATCATGGACTCTCAGAGAGTGAAAGCAAATCATCAACTTTAAAAACACTGTATTTTAGTGACAAGAGGAACAGGTGACAGAGGATATAAGTACAGAGCATAGTTAATTAAGCCTCCTGTCCCAGAATGCTGAGAGACTGCTCTTGTTCAAGCTTTTACATTCTTCATTAGAATTTTACATCAGAAGCATTAAACACATGTGAATAAAATAAATGGAAAGTGCGTATAAAACACCTTAGTATTTTGTTTGCAGTGTGGTTTCTTGTGGAAGTCCTTTCCAAAACAAATGAATGCCCATGAAATTTGAGTTTCCAGGAATTGTGTTTACTGCGTGATGGCCTAAATGGCATGGTGCGGAGCATTACTGCACATGCGTTATTGCTGTGATCTGCTCACAAGGCTTGCTATTTCCTCTGTTTTCTTAATGAGTTGTGACAGTTTTAAAGACATATTAACACAATGGTCTCTCTTTGTTCTGCATTATCTTGTCTTTCTTCTTGTCTAAAATGTTATGACAATTTCTAGATTTCCATAACTGATACGTAAAATCTATACAGGATATTACCGATGTGGCGATACTAGACATCATAAGACATGCACAGATTTGAAATCATTTGGGTGTTCAGGTGTTTAGAATGAGGGGAGTCATTGACTTTATTGTTAGCACTTCAGCTATGTGTTGTTAGAAAGAAGAAAGCATGCCTTTAATCCTAGCACTTGGGAGGCAGAGGCAAGTGGTTCTCTGTGAGTTCCTGTTGTCAGATTCAATCTTCTCTAAAAGCTCCATGAAGGAAAAAAAAAAAAAAAAAAAGAAAGAAAGAAAGAAAGAAAGAAAGAAAGAAACCTTAAAAAATATTTGCAGTTGTCCTTCTTAATGACTCTAGTTCTTCATTATTGGATATATGTTTTCCTTACAATTTTAAGCTAATAAAACTGGGAATAAAGCACAAAATTAGTTATTCTTACAGAGGCAGATATTTTTCTATTTTTCAATCTCAGATTATTATTTTTTTGTCTTTTTGGGACAGGGTCTCACTGCAGCCCCATTTGGCCTGGAACTCAATATGTACACCAGGCTGACCTAGAACTCACAGAGATCCACCTGCCTTGCCTCCCAGGTGCTGGAATTAAAGGCATGCTCCAGAATTCCTGGCTCTTCAGTCTCAGATTTGTAACTCCAAGGACAGTAGTCTACTTCCAAAGTGTCTCTATGTGTCACAAGCTCAATAAATGACATACAATTTCATGAACTATCTACTATATTATGAACCCCCACCAATGAATGGGAGCCCTAGAAATACTAATAAATTTTCAGCAATTGTATTTGTTCCTAATTATTGCTTCTGGTCTTCACATGGTGCCTGTTCTACATATCGACAGTAGAAATAGTTAACTACAGCCTTCTTTGGTTCATTCACATCTTCAATTCTTTACTTACCAGCTGCACCAATCATCCTAAGACTTTGTCATTTAGGCATGCTCTAACCTCCCTTGCCATTGATTGAACTATTGAGTATTAAGATGCATTTAAATATTTCCCGACTCAGCTTACTCTGACTCCCTTAGCCAGAATTAGCCAACATTTTAATGCTGCTTTTTTATATGTACAATTGCTGTAACAGTGACTATGCTTCTTTGCAAGCTCATTGTGCATAGGTCTCCAGGGGACCATTTCTCTTAACAATATCTTCAGTTAGTTTTGGTTCAATGGATCTTTTTACATGTTCTTGGTATACTGAGATGCATTCTCAGAATTGAAATCCTGCTTTTAATAAAATGTTTTGTTGATACCAGATGAACTTTCTATCAGGGTACATGTTAAGTGTCAAAACATGTTTAGAAGCATTAGTCAATTGCTGAATTAAAAAGAAGGCACTTGTCAGGTGTGGTGGCATATGCCTGTTATCCCAGAACTTGGGAGGCAGAGGCAGGCATGTCTCTGAGTTGGAGGTCAACCTGGTCTACATAGTGAGTTCCGGGTCAGCTGGGGCTACTGAGAGACCCTGTCTCAAAAAGACAAAATAATAAAATAAATAAATAAATAAATAAATAAATAAATAAATAAATAAATAAATAAATACAGTTAAAGAGCTCAAATACAGGGGAAAAGTGGAAGACTGTGCTTTTGTGTTTAAATCTCTTTATCCAGTCATATTAATGATCAACTACACATACTCCCATTCTGTGATAGCTATGTACCCTACAATTTTTCAAAATTGTTTCTAAAACATCTGAGATTATGCTGTGTAATGCAGAGGAGATCCTGATGTTCACATTAACAATCAAAACATAATCTACCTGGAGAGAGTTCAGTGAGTCTTCGTGAATGAGGTAGTGTTAAAGGTATAGTTCATGGATCACAGAAAGGAATGCTAGGAAATATCCCTGGCAACGAAAGTAGGAGGATGGAGCATGCATGGCCTAGGCGAAGCATACTAAGGATACTCAAAGTTGACAGAATACTCTATGCATTCTCAATGTCAGATTCTTCTCACAGTTTTCATTTGAGCACAAAGAGAATTTTTTGTCCACTTAATTAGCTAATAGTCACTCTCTATCCTATTACTAGTTTTGTTGACTTAACTAATATTGCCTGAGCGTTTTCACTTTTAGGTAGAATTACATTTATTTCATAAAAAACTGAAGAAACGAGTTTTTTAAAAGACACCACAACACATTTCACTTTATCTGATTTAGTATTCAATTCAATATACACTTGTTAAGACTTCCAGGTGGACTTTTGACTTCAAGTAATGGAAACTAATCCTAGATTAAAATTAATAGCTAGGCTTTATCTCATATAAGAATGGAATTATTATTGCCTATAAAAATGGAAGAGGGGGACTGAGTAATGGTTCAATGGTTAAGAGCCCTGACTGTTCTTGCAGAGGAACCAGGTTGGATTCCCAGCACCCACATGGAGGCTAACAACCATCTGTAACTCCAGTTCCAGGGGATCAGACACCTTCTTCTAACCTCCACAGGCATTATACAACATGGGTGCCCTTGTATAAATGCAGGCAAAACATTCATAAAAATGAAGGAAGGAAGGAAGGAAGGGGGGAGGGAGGGAGGGAGGGAGGGATGGATGGATGAAGGAAGGGAGAGGAGGTAGGTCTAGACTCGGCCATTCAACAAGATCAAACACATTTTTTTCCCTTTCAGTTTTATACTTGTCATCTCTAGCAGGCTCATCTATGTCCACATATTTGCTGTAACGTGACCATAATATAGCTACTGCAACCACCCCCTTCAAGGGAGGAAGAAAATAGAAACAGATAGTACTAATCACACACACACACACACACACACACACACACACTTCCATTAACAAGATTAAATATACATCCAAACAGCCCTGGAAGACATCCTTCTATCTTTTCTTTTTAGTTAAGAACTGTACTGTGTAGTTATCTTTTGATTTTCCAGCAAAGCAAGATGGTAAATTTAGTATCTGATGTATTAAATAGTTGGCTTTGTCTTATAATATTACTATGCATTTGTATTGTAGCTGGGAAAAAATCTAGGTTCTGCTAGTAAGGAAGA